GCCACACCAGTTTGGAGTTATGATTAATAGGGTGTTATTTATTTAAAGGGGAAAAAACTTACAGATCACCGTCCCAGACAACAGCCATCTGCACAACCAGGAAGGGAGTCTAGTCTCCAGCGGAGCAGGAAGTGAAGAGAGAGAGCAGAGGAAGTAGCCGCTTTTTTAAAGGGAGAGAGACCACGCCCCAATGGGCTGGTATCACAGCAGCTATTGGTTGGAGGGGCGGAAGGACCTCCCGCAACAGACTATGATGTGAAAGTACAAACCAAATAATCCCTTTCCTCCCCAACTTGCTTTTGATCATGATGTTTCATCACAGCAATAGAAACCCTAACTAAGACAGAGGCCCACCCATGTCTCCAGTTCTAAGGAATCCAATGCCTTCTTCTAGCCTCCTTGGGCACCAGGCATGAACATGGTACTACATACATGCCAGCAAAATACTCATACTCATAAAATAAAAGTAAATAAATCTTTAAAACATCAGAAATGGATGGACAAGATGCTGGATCAGAACTTAAGCAAGACCTGGTCCAGCTGGGGCTGAGGAAGGGAATCTGCCCCAAGCCTTGGCTAATAGATGGCCAGTTCCTCCCTATATTTCTTTCAGCATCTTCTCTCTGTGCACAGCCCTCTGTGCCCCAGTTTCCCGTGATGATGACACCAGGGATACTGACCTAGGGCCCATTCTAATGACCTCACTTCAACTTGATAATCTCCACAGAGAGCCTACCTCCAAACAATGTCACCTTCTGAGATCCTAGGTAGGAGTCAGGGCCTCCCCACAGAGATGTAACTGAATCCATAACACTTCCAAGACATTTTCAGTGGAGATAGGAATTGGGTGTCTAGCACCTAAGAGATGTGGACCAGGCCCTCATTCTTCACTTCATGGGGGAGAGATATAGAACACCAATGAAGTACACATGCTCCAAGCCACAGGTGGTAATATTAGCAGGCTATTGCAGAAGCTGAAGCAGGAAAATGACAAGTTCAAGGCCAGCCAGGGTAAAAGGCAAAACCTTGTCTCAGGGCTGGAGAAACGGCTCAGAGGTCACAACCACCTGTCACTCCAGCTCCAGGACATCCATTGCCCTCCTGTGGTCTCTGCAGGCACCTGCGTCCACATGCACAAACAGACACACAACCAAAAATAAGTAAGCTAGTAGAATAAGATACATCATTGCTGATAAAGGCCACACTCTTGAATCCCAATACAAAATAAATGCTCAGGTCACTTCTCCTTTTGATTCAGTCCTGGAGCCCAGTCCATGGTCAATGCTGCCCGCAGGGAAAGTGGGTCTTCCCTATTAACCTCGTCTGGAAACTCCTCACAGACAATGCACACCAGTTCATCTCCTGGATACTTCTAGGACCTGCCACATCGACAACCAGCACCACGCGTCTGTAAAGTCCCAGTGTTGGGGTGGGAGGAGGGAGATCAGATCTGAAAGCTGGCAGACAGGAGTTCATGTCTTAGATCTAAAGCCTGACACGGTGGCTCATGCCTATAATCCTGGTCGGCCTGGGCTACAGAGTGAGACTCTGTCTCAAAAATAAAAAACCTGACTGGATTTTTGACACTGACCAGTTCACATAGCTTCCCTGTGACTTGGTTTCTGCCTTTATTAAAAAGCACAATAGTGCCCGCCTAGTAGAAACACATAATTACTATCCAATCAACAGGCATTTGCTAAGCACCTATCATTGGGCACTGGAAATACAGGGT